CCGGTGATAAATCATTTAAGCACTTGTAGCAAGTTAAACAGATTTTATATATGATACGCTCTTTCACTGGGATTATATGAGATTTTTGTGTCACAAGTTCCTTGAAACTCTTACTCAACTCATAGCCACATGAATTTACACCTTCAGTTGAAGATCTCACTTGAAAACTGGCATACGTCACTTATGGCATAATATTAATTATGTTCCAAGCATTGATTCATTTGGACCCCCGCCGTATTTAACATGTAGAACTGTTATTAAATATGTTACTTGTACATTACCAGGAGGCCTTAGGAATTAAACATTTTGAAGCTAGGAGAGAAGCCTGCACGCTGCGCATATCCACAAGTGGAAATGAAGCGTTTAAATACATAAAAATTTGCGGGACTCTTCTCAGTTAGAGTTGGCCACCTTGGCCATAGCAAAAACCACTACTTATTGGTATTCTATTTCTTTCTTTTTAAAAATATTTTAAAGAAATAATAATATTCCTCTGCGGATGCATTGATGACAGTCCGGCCTTGATGGATGAATTATGATTAGTAGTAGTGCGTTACTGCAGCCTCTTTTGACTAAACCATGTATTGATGGGTAACTTGGAACAAGCCAAACAATAGATAAAAACAGAGGTGAGAAAAGAAAATTCTTATGGGGATGTTTAAAAGATAGCGTTTAAGTTCCAAGGCAGGTCACTAATCTCGATAACAACAGCGTTTGCGTTCTTTTGTGGCACCTTTTACGCCAGTAGAATATTTTTTTCTGCCTCATGTGAGCATTACTCAGCGAAGTGTGATAATTATATTATGTTGAAACGCGTCTGAGATGAATTCTCTCAGCGCATTGCTATTGCCCGTGCTGCTGGTGATGGCCACATTAAATGCTTGTAAGACAGAATTAAAATTTGGCCGACGTACAATACTTGGGACTTAGCCTGTTTTTTTCGATTGTTCTTCCCTCTTAAAATATTGCGTTATGAAATTGATTCATTCTTCTCATTTATTGTAGAGAATCAGGCCATTAGAATTTCAGTTATTGCTACTGTTTATATTTTTGTAGCTTACTGTGTTCACATTTTCAGGTACCCTTTCGTGAATAGGACCCAACTATTTGGGCAAATTAAAACCGGTTACTGACTACAAAATACAAGTTTTGAAGGATAAAGGCTAGTGAAAACCTTCATTGCCTCCAGAAAGGAAACCTGTGAAAGAGTAAGACCTAAATTTAAGACTTTGTTCAAAAATGAGTTCAGAGTACCATTTAATTTGCCCCCCCCCCTTGTCCCCTGGAGCGATTGAGTTTGACACCCCTGGGTTTCTGGTAAAATTCGATAGGCATTTCACGTGAAATCTAAGTTAGCTCCGCCATTCTTGTCATAGGTTACAGCCCTGGCCAGTTTAGCCAAATCTGTCACACATGTCAGAAAACAACACATCGTATCAATTACTTAGTCCGTGGATCTTGATAGTGACAAAGAGTACACGATTAAACGAAGACTCTATCATGATCTGCTCTAGGGAACCAACAAACTCCCCTTACCCCCCCCCCCCCAAGAAAAACTGGCGCATTTACCATCCGGCCTTCACAATGTATGAACGCACGAATATTTGCTGTAATAATACCATTATTATATTTCCTAAACAAGTCCTTATTGAGCAAAGCTGTCTTCATGTTGGTGCACATATCTTCAATAAATACAGTCAGATTAAAGACGAGACTGACCCAGTGCTGTGGAGGGTTTTACTTGGAGGCAGAAGTAGTCACAGGCGACGTCGGGTATCGCCTGGCGGACAGGCACGGAATCATCCGAAGAAACGCATAGCGGAAGTTCCGGTTCTGAACTGAGTAGATGATAAAATTCATTCCGGAGTTAGTGAGCGCTACTAGGTTAAAGAATCGGTACACCCAGGCGTTGACGTTAAAGAAGAAATCTAAACAGATACAGATGGCCATTGGCGTGATGCACACAAAGTAAGCGCCAAACACTGTGAGAAAAAACTTGATACTTTTCATCGTCGCCTGCCTTGTTTTTGCCGCCTCTTCTTCTGCCTTCTTGGCGTTATGGCCGTTGGCTGCGACCACAACTGTTACCGCTCGTATCGCGTTCCGCTGCTGGAACGCCATCTTGAGAATCTGCACGTACATGATGATAATCACAAAGATGACTATAGAGTAGATGGCTGTGTTGCTGTAGAGGAGATATTCTATGGGTAGGACAGCCGTCACATCACACAGAGGAACCTCCCCGTACGGTTTGTAGATAAATTGTGGGGAGACAGAGTATACGACCCCCAATACCCAGGCTATAACCATTGTGGTAGCGATAACCCTTTTCGTCATGACCCTATGGTACACATACGGCTTAACGATATACAGGTACCTCTCCACTGATATCAAACACAGATGTTCCACGGACGTAAAAATCATGCCGATGACAATTCCTTGCATGAATACACACAGATTGATGTGCTCGAAGTATAGCGTAAGCCTGAGGTACGGAATCATGAAGAGAGCCAACAGGATGAGGGACACGCCCACCAGGAAGTCTGCCCCCGCCAGACCGGCCACGTAGACGTTGGAGAATGTCTGGAGAGCCTCGGTGCGCAAAATGGCGAGAATGGTCATGACGTTCCCGGTGCAGATGAAGATACAGAGGAGTACGGAGATCACACACAGCAGGATGTCTACGGCGGTGGTCTCCGTGGAGAAGGGCTCAATCTCTGTCGCTGAGGTCGTCACCATCGTCGTTCTAGTGGCGGAGGGGTAGAGTGTCGACCTTGTAGAAACAATGTCGTGAGTTCGAGTCCCGGCTGCGTGGGGAAGAATTTGTATCCTTAGAAAAGATAATGAAATTCCCCACTTTCCCCAGATTACCTCATGTAACCCTAGCTACCCTAGATCACCTTAGATATTCCAATATCATCCTAGATTATCCCAGATACCTTAGATCATCTCAGCTGACCCCTGATTATCATGGATTACTCCAAATCCCTCCAAATCACATCAAATCACACCAAAGTATCTCAAGTCAACTTGGAATATCCTAAAAACGTATCATATCAACCCACACTACTCCAGACCACTTGAGATTAATTCAGATTGCTCTCACACAAGCCAGCATTCATTAGAAGTTTAATATAGTAACAGCATTCACCTAACAGACTGCGATGCTGTATCTCCCAAGAGGGAAAAGAATTGGGAATTAAAAGAGGCAATCCAATCAACCTGGGTTAGGGTAAAGTCTTGAGAGCCTTCAGATGGGTACATGAATAAAAATAGACACTTTGACTTTTCACTATAACTGGGAGAATACATACACACAAAATATTAGAAAAATATCGTATTGTGGGAGTGAAACCAAGCGTGTTATTCTTACCCTTTGTGCACTGAGAGGCTGTTTCATTGGGTTTTATGGCAGCCACAACAAAAATAAAATCCCAGGAACGTGATGAATCAAAGTCTCAGCAGCAGGACATCTGAACCCTTTCCTTAACTGTGAAAGAAAAGTACAAAAACGTCCATCCTGAATGGTTATTGATTCCTCTAGAGATCCTTTCAGTACTGTTTAAATAACCAAACCAGTTTACCCGAGCGTGCAAAGGCTTTGAGGAGAGACAAACAGGAACATTAAAACTTCCTTCTTTGTGCAAGTAACGAAGTCGCTGAAAGGTGGCTCTTGAATGTAAAACATAAAAAGATCAAAGATCAGTGCACTCTTTTGACTCTGCCTTTGTTCATGCTTATTATAGAGTTGATATTTTTGTTGGTTAAAGCACTGCTGCTTTAAAAAATTTTTTTTTACTCCTGTCAGGTATGGTGTCGTGATTTCTGTCCGTCTGAACTCTCTTTTCTGAATGTTCTCAGTACAGGTTGTGTTTTTTTGTTCTGTTTGGTGTTATCGCCTTCCAACCGCCGAGAGGAATGAGGACATTGGTAATGATAGTTGTTTGGCCACGTGATCAATTGACCTGGTCCGTTAAACGTACGTCCATTAAAAAACGGAAACAACAAACGAATGTTAAACACTCCGCTCGAGAGCTTAAGTATTAATGTTATTGGCTCCAGCTCTCCATTGATTGGGAACATATAAAATTATTAGTGAGGTTTACGAGCATTCAAGTTTGATTTCATTCTTCTTCCTTGATGTAATAACGTTTTGACCTAATTTGTTTCTGATAAATTAGACCAGTGTCAGTGATAATTCCTCGCAAATTGCAACTCAACAAAACCGAACTCTATCTTATCCTCGAGTAGGAAATTGAATGTTGTCAATGGTATGACCAACTATTTAAAAAGAAAAAGATTTCTGTACGTCTTTCTCGTTTGTCTTCTCCACAAAAGGACCAACAGTGTATTCATGTGCAAGTCTATAACACAGAGAAATGAGTTGAATGTGTTGAACATCCTACATGACAATGACAGTGACAATCTGTATTTATCTCACAGGGAGAAATTTGTCTTGGTCGTTACCAAAGCAGTAGACGTTACAAAGGTTAGGGACACTCACGCATACGCACAACAAGACAGGATATTAGTAAATACATGTCTCCGTAAACTATTCTCTCTCTCTCTCTCTCTCTCTCTCTCTCTCTCTCTCTCTCTCTCTCTCTCTCTCTCTCTCTCTCTCTCCCTCTGTCTCATTTCTTGCACTGTGTGTTCAGTAACCTCACTGCAGGTGGTACGAATGAATTTCTATATCTCTCTATATACATGGAGAAATTTGCACCACAGCAGTGTCCTCGTAAATCCTTCGAGTTCATATTATACGTTTCTCTGGTTATTCTTTGAGTTAGTTGTACGTCACATAAGAATAATATCAAAGAAACCAACGTTTTACCACTATTTAGGTGAATTTTATCGGTGTTTCTGTTTTTTGTTTTTTTCGTTGTTGCATTTTTCTTGGAGGGCAGAACACCTTTGATTGCCAATGTCAAAACAAATGTGCGCGTGGTTTTTATTGGTAAAAAATGTAAATTTGCGGTTCCCAAGAAGACTATAGCTTTGGAAATCACCAAACTTCAGTGACCACATTCTCGCTGATTTTCCCCTGATCCCAAGTTAACCTCAACTCTTTCACTCGCAAATACATCGACTTCTTTTCAAAATATTAGGCAGTTCTACATTGAAAGAAAGACAAGTCAACAAGCCTTAAGACAATATTAATATGAAATTAATAGGCCCAAAAGTTGACGATCGACTAATTCCATCGTGTTTTGACTCATTTTCTTGCAAAAGTGATAACAGCACATGTGAGACTAGGCTGCTTTCTGAGGAATAAACAGTTTGCTCTAATTAATAAACATAAAACAGAACGAGTGCAAAAAGAGAAAATGAAATAGAAATCTGCAAACTCCTGTAACTGCTGTCTTCAAAATATGAATCGGATTTTGCCTAATATGTCGAAAATAGATGTGGTTACAATGATCCACAGTTCTTTAATGCATGAAGTAACTTTTGTGATCCTGTTGCAAAACCAGGGCTTGGTCTCCTGTTTACTTTCAAACATATAAAGAGGTTTTAAGACAAGATTGATACCCAAATAATTACAGTACCTTGCCCGTGTCCAATAGAGCTTCAGTGTTATTTTGTATTAACCAACGTAGTTTTTGTTACAGTAATCCAGTGCTTTCAAATAGATTTAGACCAAACCGGTAATGACAAGTTAGAAGTAAGTTTGGGCAAGGTAAGTAACTAAAAATTGCCAGAAATTAATTATAGCCATTTTCAAACTAATTACCTACAGTGTGTAAAGGAAGCCAAATGCCACCACCTTATTTCATTCTAGATGAATTCACAGTAAAATTGTTAATTTCGATCCCTCATTCATAAGAGCGTCTTTTTGAGACAATGTAACGATTACCCAAAAGTAGCCCAACTGAAAGAGAGAGAAGAGACCCAGGGTGTGTGTGCTCGTCTGTTAAGTTCCCGAAAAGGGGGACCGGTGTCTTAGTTTACCTTTACCAAAAACACTTACCTCAGCACGAGGGGACGGCAGATTCACGTCTGTGATGTACTCTGAGATGAGGGTACCTCGTGTTGGGAGCGTTCTAAGGCCATTTTTATAGCATCCTGTTTTTTATGGGCGGGTGGGACACTGCTTCTGGAAGCTTCCGTGAATTCAAAGCCAGATTTTCTATGATCTAATCCGCTGTTGTTGAACGCAGAAGTGCAAAACTGTTTATTTCGATCAAAATTGAGATCTGTGAATGAGGACAAACAATGCCAGTGGAGTATGAAAGCCAAAACAACACAATGGGTGCACAGCGCGCTGTAGCGTAAACAACAAATTTGCTTGAGAATAAAAAAGCTTTTTGTTTCCAATTAGTGCAGTTTAGGTGCGCATACATCTAGAAAGAAACAATGTGATCACGGGAGTTATTGTAAGGTCTCCGCGTTTGGATTTCAGCTATTGCCTGATCGTGAGCTGTTGTACTGGCTCATTGGTTCGTGGTGAATCGGCTTCTCTAGCCCCAAGCCAAGTTGATAACAATGCCATTAGAATCAATAATGTATTGTTATGAGATTGATAAAACTTGAGTGCAGAGTGTGTGTGTGTGTGTGTGTGTGTGTGTGTGTGTGTGTGTGTGTGTGTGTTA